GGAGCAGATGCATCTGCAACGCTCTTGGCAACTGGTTGAAACTGGGGCAGCTCTTTAATGCTTATCCAGTCCGGCACTGACGGAGCCGTTGCTCATTAAGAGCCGCTGCTGGATTGGGTTGGGCAAGAGCAAAACCTGTTGAGGATGACCCCGATAGACCGAAACAGTATACATAGTAATCAAGAGAGGCAAAACGAACAGATGCTTTCTTTCCTGCCTGGTTAGGGGAGCGTGCCCCTCTCAGGCTCCTAAGTCGCTGGGTCTGAAAAATTCAGGTGGGACTGAGTTTGGATCTCACCTGATGATGAGCATCATTTTTGTAGATATTTTCTCGCCTGGGACAAATATTTCATAAAACAAGCAGGGCTGTCAGGGAGGTGTTTGGTTTCCAGCATGTTTCCCCTCTGTTTTTTTTCCCCAGTTCTCTTGAAAATTGATTTTTATTGAAAGCAGGAGCTACCAGACAGTTTTTTCTCTGCCCTCAGTACTGATCTGAGGTGGAAGGTGATAAAATCCCTTTATGGCTTCATTACAGTAAGATAATACAAAGCTTGCATAGAAAATAATCTTCATTTTTTAGGGCAAAGAGCAGTGAAGCCATCCCTGACATACTGTTGCAAGGCTTATATTTAAGCCAGCTGAGTGAAATGGAGTTTCTGGTTTCCAAATGCTTGTAGGAGGGGAGGTGGAGGTGAAGCCCCTCTGGAGCAGGAGACCAGGGGATGGTGGGTGGTCCACGGCGCTGGAGCCTGATGGGCAGGGGAAGGATGGGCAGATGCAGAGAGGGCTCATGGAGGTTGGGCAGGGAGCCTGGTGGCTTTTTCTCATTTCACAGCTTCGTCTCATCTTTATTCTTCTTCCTCTGTGTCCCTGGATTTTGGGGGTGGCTGTTAATCTGTTATTTCCCTGGCAGCTCTGGGAGGGGTAGCCGCGAAGCCGTGTGAATGCTGCTCCTTACCTGGGCTGCTGGAAAGGGGAGAGATGTGCCAAAAAAACCCCAGATCCACCTGATTCTGGGGAATAAACCACAAATTTTAAGGCAACTTCTGTTTTATTGCTTGATTTCAGCAAGTACAGATATCCAGCACATGGCACATGAAGCTTTTGTTCGTGGACATCAACTGGTGATGCTGGCGGGGTGCAGGTGGCCATGGGTTTTCTGTCCCCTTTCCCTGCACAGTTGTGACGTCGACCTCACAATTTCAGTCTGACTGATGCATGAAATATAGCACAGCTCCATCGTGGATTATTTAATGAACCCAGCTTACAGCCTCGCTTGATTAGTGAGCCAACTCCTTCGTCCTGTGTGTGATGCCGGCTGGCACGTGATACCTGAAACCCAGCTCTGGGCTGGAGGAGATATTTCCTCCTCGAAATGGAATAGCTGCTAGTGAGCAGGACCATTTTTGGTTGAATTTAGAAGGGCAAAAAAGGAGCTGAACCTATATAAATCTGGTTTCTTTAGCACTTAAAGCTGATGTTTGGTTGCCACTGGGCATTTTGTCCTGGGCTGCTCACCAAGGTGGCTGGTGGGAGCATGCAGGTAGGAAGGAGCAGGCGGGTGATGCAGAAAGATACAGCTCTCGTGGTTATCTGAGGGCTGCTTGCTATGGCAGGGCTAGTGGCACCACATTATTAAGTATTTTTCCACAAACTCCGTGCCTGTAGTTACTGGTTATTATGATTTTTTTTTTTTTTTAATTCCTACCAGCCTGCTGCAGAACAGGTTGGGTGAAACGCGGCCACTGCCTTCATCACTAGGTCCTGCGCTGGGGGTTGTGTGCATGTGCTGAAATCAATCCCCTGTCTCCCAGGTTTTGGAAGGAGCAAGGAAAATGAAAATAAAGGGGTTTTCTGTCCCAGAGTCCTCCCAGGAGTGGTGTTGGAGGAGGTCAGCCTTGAGTTCTGCTGCCCTGTCCTGTGTGGACTGTGTGTAGTCCACGCACCAGCCCTGGGAATAACACATCCATCCATCATGGCCCTGGATATACATCCCTCACTCCGTCAGTGATGACCGTGCATGGTCCAGCATCACTTCAACCAGGTGGGGAATCACAAGAGCTATAAAAAATACACCCAGTAGGAATAATAACCTTATTTTAAATGCTGAGTGGTGATAATGAGCTGCTGGGAGACCTCCCAGGTGGTGGGGGTGAAGCCTTGAGCACCATCTGCGTATCTTCAGATGCTCTGCATCGGCTCAGATGGACGTTGAAAGTGGGAATATGCTGTAGTGTCCCATTGAGAAGTGGGATTACATGGCACCTTGCTGTGGTCCTTCTCTTTGGGTGTTTCAGGAGTCAGGCAAGCAGCCTGGAGGGGTGGGCAGCACCTTGGGGGACCAGGGCTGCCCTGGCGCCTCTCTTAGCAGATGTGTAGGGAGATGGTGGCCCTGGTGCAATTCAGTTCAAGGCAGAGACTTCTAGAGTCACTGCTGATACTGTGGTGAGGGGACCACGTCCAGCTGGTGTGTTGGTTTCGCGTGGATGAGCTGCTTCAAACTGCCCCATGTCCACTGGGCTGCTGGGCTTCAGTGACAGGGCAAGCCGAGCCAAATGAACCCCAAAAGGAGAGTGGCTTCTCTGTGGTCCAGCCTGTGGCATCCCATGGGCACAGATGATTCCCAGGCTGGGGGAGGAGGATAGTTGTAGCAATGCTTTGGCTTGCAGCTGGGCTGTGGCATCTTGGGATAAGGCAGGTGAAGGTGGCATCCATTCTGTGTTGGGGCTGGAAGTTGGTAGAAGTAACTGGACTGCATGTCCAGCTCTTACTGCCAGCGGGGAGAGGCCAGTCCTGGGCTTCACCTGGGCTTTTGGAGCTGAAAAGGGATTTTACCTGGAAAGTTTTCAGGTGCTGATGGTTTGAGACTTGCTGGCACTTGGGCTGGGGCTTGCTTGGGCAAACTGGCCTCACTGTGTGCCGCCACTCGGCTCGGGAGCAGGATGCATTGCTTGGAGCAGGCAGGACTGGTCCCCTTGGGAGCCGAGCATGCAGCACCTCCTGGGACTGGACCTGGATTCCTTAAAATAGCCCCTCTGGGAGATGTTTATGGGTTTTTAAAAATGAAACATGTCCTGTTTTCTGGAGTGGGCCCTGCAGAGTGTTTGTATCAGGAGTGGAGGTGTGGGGTCAGCCATGGGCAGGTGACAAGGACAGGCAGGAGAAGGGTTTAGGCTGTTGGTGAGTAGTGCAGGATTGTCATTGCTCTGGTTCCCCTTGGGTCAGGTCCTCCTCACTGCCTCCCTGGTGTGGGGTGGGGTGGGAACGGCCCAAGGATGGGATGGGGTTGGCTGGGATGGAGTGGAGTGGAGTGGGGTGGGGTAGGATAGGATAGGATAGGATAGGATAGGATAGGATAGGATAGGATAGGATAGGATAGGATAGGATAGGATAGGATGGAGTGAGATGGGATAGGACAGCATGGGGTTGGATGAGATGGGATAGGATATGATGGGATGAATCTTGCTCCTTGCCTCACAAGGATCTTACAGCTGCATGCCCAATCCTGAAATCCCTGGTGGCAGCTGGGGACAGAAAGAGTCCATGGCTGCTGGAGGAGAGGGGTTTGGTAAGGCTGCAGGAGAGCACCATTTTCTCTAGCTCTGACTTCCCCACTTTTTCGCAGTAACGGATTTCTTTCGATGGGCAGAGCCATCCCTGCAGAGAGACATGCGGCACGGGGGGCAGGTCACAAACTGGGCAGGGTTCTTGGCCATGGTGCGGAGGTGACCGTTCAGCGAGGACGGCCGTACGCAGGATCCCCGGAGGAGGATCTGGCAGGGGCTGGCCTGGGGAAGCTGGCTGTCAAACCCACACAGGGTTTTATTTGAGCACACCTCCTTGGTTGGAGGTGAGCGTAGGGTTTGTTGTCCATTGCTGATCGCACCCCTGACCAGGCCTGTTTGAGCAGCACCATGAGATGTGAGGCTCCTTGGTTACTTCAGCTGCTTTGCTTGACTGTGGCCTTTCTTGTGGGACGAGCTGTGGATTTTGTCTTGCACTCGCAGCCCACATCTGAAGAAACACCCTTTTCCTGCTGTCCCTTTCTCGCTTGGAGCCTGTGTTTTATCTGCCGTGAATATGGGGTGAATGCCCCATATTGCTGCATGTATTCTCCAGCATCCTTACAGTTGTGTTGCTCATGCTGCGCCCTGAATTCGTGTTTCACAAAGCAGATGGCTGTCCATCACAAGGTTCTGGTTGTCCTGTGTTATTAAATCAAGAGGAAGCAGAGTGTGCCACTGCTGTAGAGGCAGAAGGACCGTGTCTGGAGCATGCTAACCTTCAGCGCTGCGGTGCATGGCTCTCCCCAGCCCTGGCTGCTTTGGGTCTGCGTGGGACAGCCTTTCCTCCGGTTCTCGCTGTGCCCCGCGTTTCCTCCCTGTCCCTGGTGTCTGGCTCCAAGCTACCTTAGAAACTCTTTATCTGCCAAAATTGTTTGTGGGGTACAGAGGTTCAGGGTGTGCATGTGCAGCAGTGAGTGCGGGGACCAGCCTCACCACTTGGGCCAAAGTTTGAAGGTCTTGTTTTCCAGCTGTTGAAGACCGCTGGTGGAATCAGGGTGTTGGGTGTTGATGGTTTGCAGGCGAGCAGAGCTCCTCCCGCCACCTCCTGCAGGGCTCATCCTGCAGGATTTGGCCCAAAGCCTCTGAGTGTTGCTGGCTGGCTGCTGGTGGCTTGCTTGCGTGTCCCCAGGTAGCGTTCAGGCTGGTGGTACCAGTCCTTCCAAGTGTCCTCCTTGAGCTCATCCCAAGGAAGGGCAAAGCTTCACAAAACCAGCTTCCAGCTGCCGATTGGCTTCTGAAAGTCGGCTGTGTCTGTGTGCATGGGGTGGCTTGGTTGAAAAACTCGTCCCTGATGTTGGGAGAGGCGGTCCTGCTCTGCTCTGGTCAGAGCATTAGAGCTGGACCGGGTGAGAACACAGGACACTGCTTTGGTCAGAGGTGATTGACTACAAGCAGGATTATGAATGCTGGTCTGGGTGAACAGCAGATGAGTTCATGGCTTGTCTGGATCCTCCATGGACTCGGGAGTCTCAGAACTCCCCGTTACTCAAGCACTTCTTGTTGCAGCCAGGCTGGGTAGGTGTTTGGTAGTCCTCACCCTTGGGAAGCCTTTGCAATGCTTCATCTGCATCCATGCCCCAAGGCTGCGCTGCAGCAAGGCTGGAAGTGCAACCACGGTGAGGCTGGGTGTGTTGGCCATCTCCAAGGGCAGGCCTCTGAGGGTATGTATTTAGGTTTCCCACAGAAAGCAGCCCCACAGTGCTGGGAAGTAGTGGACATCAGTAGGACTCACCTTCAGAGAGCTCCCTCAAAGGATAGCAGGGCTGGCTATGGTGAGTCTCAGGGTCCTGTCCCCCTGTCCTCCCGCAGCTGGCCAGCCCAGGGCAGTGCGGTCAGGGGTGCGCGTGTGTGCATCCTGGCCATGCCTGTGCGGCTGTGACTCTGCAGAGGCTCATTTCAGGAGGTTTCCTTGGAAACCCGGCAGCCAGCACGAGGAGGGAGTGTTCCCAAGACAGCTTTGGCCCCAGCTTCATTCCCAGCCAAAGATGACCGGGACAGGGGTGGGAGGAATAGCTTTCCCCAGGGCTGAGCCGCTGCAGCTTGGCGCGGGGAAGCAGGATGCTTCGGCAAGCTCTCACCAGCTGCTGTCTGCTTCCCAGAAAGCCTTTGCCCCCCACTGTGGCATGCCTGCAGACCCTAACCTGGGGCTTTGTCTTTGCAGGAGCAGGAAGATCCAGATCCGAAACATCCCCCCCCACCTGCAGTGGGAGGTAAGAAGTGGACGATCCTAAAAACATCCTGTTCATCTCCTCCTCCATCAGTTGCGCTGAGCAGTACAAGCTGTGCTGCCAGAGCTTGTGGTCTGTACGTGGGCCACCCCTTACCTTCCCAGTAACCAGAACGGAGGTGGAGCATGAACTGGGCTCCATCTCCTGCCTGCTTGTGGGTCCTGGAGCTGTGGGGCAGCTTTGAGCAGTAGGGCATCGTTGGGATAATGGCATGCAGGAGGGTGAAGGCATTTCAGCACTTGGGTGGCTCTGGCTCTTTGGAAGGGTGTCTGTGGGTGAAGCAGGCGCTCCCCCTGCCTATTCCCTGCCTGTGCACCAGCCTCTCCTGCCTGCCTCACCTGCCCTGTTTGCTGCTCTCTCCCCCAGGTGCTGGACGGCCTGTTAGCTCAGTATGGGACGGTGGAGAACGTAGAGCAAGGTACGGTGGTCCAGCATGGTCCTCATCTATGTAAAAGTCCCAGCGCTGCTCCCTGGCTCTGCCCACACCGGAGAAAACCCAGTGGGGTGAAACCTAGTTTTCCCAGTCATTGGTACTGAGCTAAAATGGTTTTCCCTACAGGCACAAGCCCTCCTGGCAGAGGTATGACCTCACACCCTC